ATCGCGTGTATCTTTTAAATTTTGCCAAAATAGGCGCAAAAGCCTGTTGCGAATAATTCGTTCGGTATATCTGTACTGGGGGAATTGGAATATTTTGAATATGGCGTTATACGGGTTAAAAAGAGTTAAAGAAACAACGTCCACCAAGCGTTGTTATATTTTTTATTAACGTCGCAATTGTTACGTATTATTATTCAATTGCATTGCACAATTATTCGCTGGAATAAGCCCGAGGGCCAATCGATCGTCCTCGTATTTGGCCGCAAACATCATGGAAAATTCTGTATCGATCCGCAAGAGCCCCGATGGAAAATCAGCTGCACACAACCGTGCAGACCGCCGCGCCACAACAGAAACCACACGAACTCTCTATCAATTTTATTTCCCTAAAGTACGCGATGGAACCGTCGGACCACCCGACGTCGTCTGACACTTTGAAAATCATGGAACGCCGGTGGCCGCTGCTGTTGTCCAAGCCGGTTGGACGTCGAAGATGTATCGCCGTCCCCCTTCGCGCCGCGATTGTTCGACAAATTCGCCGACAATGGTTGTCCCCTCCGTGTCCCGTGAAGGGACGCGACTTGAATGGCGCGAGAGCGAGCGAGCGAGCGCGCCAAGAGCAGAAGCTCCTGGAAACGCGAGAGGCGGAAAAGAGTCCGGGACATGTTCATTCATCAAGCATCGAAATCCCTCGTCATAAAGTTTGACAAGCTCGTATATTGGGGCCGCGGCAAGTACTCGTACAGTGGAGCCGCGGCTCACGCGTACACTTGGTTTTGATCTATTGTCAGCCGGCAACATTCGCGATAACGCGTGCAATATCTTACGCGGCAACTTCGCCAATCCAGTCTGTCAATCATCAGGCAGACGCGAGCGAGGTGGTCGGCATTCGTGCAGAAAGTAACACGGGGATTGGAACACGTCACGCCTCGCAACTTGACGACTCACTCTCGTCATGCTCCGCGAGATCACGATCCCCGTTTTAGGGAAATTATCGGCGAAGAATGGCCTACGGAGTAATTGGCGAGTCATTTTTTTTATCCTTTTCTTGTTTTGAACTCTGCTGTGAAATCTCGTTTGAGGTTTTGTTGTACAGCTATAAATGTAGACCCTACTAAAATAACCAAAGTAACAGAGGAAATGAGAATATTGTACAAAATATCTTTGTACATTAAGGTTGCAGTCTTTAACGGAAATTGTGACACGTAATTCTTATTAATCGAAAAGTGAATTTTTAACTAAGTGGAGGAAGCCTAAAAAAAAAGAGTTAAATTACGGAGCAGTTGATAGTGCATCGCGCAACGCACGTGCAAGTTAGTTTTTCATTTAAAGAAATGCAAAAAGTTCACTGTTACGAACTCGTTCTCGAGTTGCCGCCTCGAGAAAATCAAATTGGGTCCCACGTTGGCAACCAACGGGTGTAGATGCACTAGCAGGCCGAGATACCTGCTTTAGCAATTATTATGTCGACTTTTAGAGGCAAGAGTAATTTGTATTTGCTGAGCTTTTTGATAAGTTTAATCCTTTGGGGGTCAACTGCAGAGTCATATTGCAGTATGATATAATCAGGCAAAGGACGATTCTGAATCACGCAGAAATAAATCGAAACGGACATCGGGCAAAGGCTGTTTTCGAAGAAATGAAAGAAAAGTATAATTTGGTAATTAAAGGTTCCAGAAACGTAGGATTTTTTTCGCTTTCGACAAGACAGAACTTAGAAACACGTTTAATCGAGAACTAGCTGCTTTTTAAAACGAAGAATGCAGAATCGGTGGTATCGAATATATATAGAAGTCAAATTCCAACGGGAAATAACGAGACGAGAACTTTTTCCGATCGTGCAATAACACCGCGATATCACACCCGAGACAGTGAGAAACAAATGAACGCGGGCTGAATCTTCGCGGCGCGAAGATTAACGCGACTCCATTAACGGATTTCGATCGAGCATACTTCCCGATTCAGGCACCGATGTTAATGCCAGTTTATACCGATACAGTGAATCGATCCGCTTTCGCATCGAGCGTCGTCGCCGAGTATTTGAGCCACGGTGTCGCGGCTGAAGCGAAGCAAAACGCGGACACCTACACGTGGCCGGTGTACGCCGGATGAAAATTAATGCAGCGCAGTTCGTCTGCATAATTAATTTACAATCGTGCCGAGGGATATAGCGCGGCAGCAATGGCAACGGCAACGGCAACGGCAACGGCAACGGCGACGTTATTTCAAACACAGCTGATTACTCGGCAAAATTGACCGCAAATTTCAATTATTTCGCGATAAATCGACGCGGCGCGGATCCGCGAGGATTATCCGTGGCGGCGTGCACTATCCGCGCATTAACGCAATTATCAGCCGGAGGAGGGTGGCCCGAGCTCGCACCCGGGTAGCTCGACGACGAACGATGTCGTTTTTCGCGACGAGGACGCAGCTTCGCTAGCGGCGCCCTTCGAAATCGGCTCAACGAGATTTTCCCAGCGGCTCGTAAATCGCCACGATGCTGGCCACGTTGCCGGGTTACACGCACCACTATTCGTAACACACACCGAGGTCTGTGTGTGTGTGTGTGTGTGTGCGTGTGTACACCGCTGGTGATTATCTTTATTACTGCCGGATGCTGCGTACACATCGAGCCACGCTCATCCGACCGATACACTGTTAACATTCGTCTGGATATATGAAATGTACGTATGGAGATGGGGATGACCGAGCCGAGGGGATAGTTCGTGATTAACGGTTGCCTCGACGCTTCTGCTAGCCTCGTGCTTTCCGCTGTTGGCTGCTTCGATGGCTAGTTACATCTGGCATCGTTCGCCTGCGAATCTGGCTGCTCTGGACTTCCGATGGACTGCCTGTAGTCTGCCTGTTAAATAATCCGATCGCTTCTCAACGTCGCACGATTGTCTCGTTTTCGTCGGATCCACGAGCTCGACGAGTTGAGAAAGTTAGCAAACGATTTTCGAAGCGGTGAAACGTTTCGATGGACGTTGAATGTTACCATTGGACCACGGATGCGCTCTTTTATCTTCCAATGTATTTTTTTTTTTT